TCTTTTTTTTTACAAAGTTAGGATTCACAAGCCATAGCACAGAATGGTAAAGGGTAAAAAGAAACAAGTAGTTTAAAAAACAGTGAGATAACATTTTTGGAAAATGAGAAGATAGCCTCCTTTATTTTAATACCCATACACTTTAACATGAATATATATAGTGATTTTAGTATTACCGGTAGACCAAGATAAATTGTTTACACTTTACCATGGAAAGCACTCTAAAAACTTGATTATCGATGACCCTCAGTTGATGATGTCATTAAACACATGTTCTACCACTGAGTTCCAAAATCATATTGCCTTATATTTTCATGTACATATCATCAAGAATTTGGTAAACACTTGATTTTAGCTGCCCTTAAGCATATTTCAAAGTCCCCAACCAATGAAACTTTTCTGTATCAACATAACGATTGTGTAATAAAAAAAAAGGTAAGCTTCATAAATCACTTGAACCTCATTGAGGATTGCACAGTGTAATTTAAAATCTATTTTAATTGAGACCCTCTTCTGCTATCAATTATCACACACAATGCTCTTTTAACAGCTGAATTAAATAGGAAGCGATAGCTCAGTCGGTAGAGCAGTGGTCTCGTAATCCGGTGACCCAGGTTCGAAACCCAGGCGATGCGCTAGTGCCCTTTGGTAAGGCATTAATCCTCATTACCAGGTCCCTCGGAAAGGACTTAAAGCCGTCGGCCGTCTGGTTGCTTACTTACAAGCATTTATGCTTTCTTAGCAGTCAGGTAAACTAAACATCACCTTTCAAATTCAATTAAAAGATCCACAGGATGATCTGGAATGAATATTACTTCTGCAAAATCGGTGTGACTAATGGCTATATGTATGTGCGTACAAAAAGAGTAAAAAAACATGATCCTGAAATCCATGGACTTCTTCTTCTTATCGAGTCACTACACAAGTCCAGTCCAGTGGTCCACACAGGCTTTGGCACGGCAATTAACGGCTTCCAGGTCATCTTGGGTGCATGGCTCTGGCAGGAGTGGGCAGACTAGCAGGTGTTCCATTGTCTGTTCCTGGCCACATTCACATGCTGTTTGTTCGTCTCCTAGACCCCACCTCTGCATTAGGACTCTGCATCGACCGTAGCCAGTTCTTAGGCGGTTGAGGCTTAGCCAGGTAGGCCAAGTCTCACTGGAGCCGGTTGCGAGGGATTCCAGTTCTGGAAGTATCATCAATGCTCAATAGTCCATGGATTGAGCATTGATGATAATATACCAGTTCTGGAAGTATCATCAATGCTCAATCCATGGACTATTGAGCATTGATGATACTTCCAGAACTGGTATATTCTTCGTTTTTCATCAGGGGCTTGTCTTCACCGCTTGAATCCGTGGGTGCCTGGTCACGGTAGAGTACGTAATGTTGAATGATGAAGATAATGTCAAAAGCAATGGAGAAGACACCCAGGCCAAACTTGGTTGGGTCACCGAAGATGGAGGCCCAGTCATCTGTTGAAGATTGACAAAAAAAAGACTTTGATAATAACATTTATAAAATTGATGATGAAGATGAAGATGAAAACATTGATGATAGTACTAGTAGAAGAAGAAGTAGTGGTAGCAGCAGTAGTAGTAGTAGTAGTAGTAGTAGTAGTAGTAGTAGTAACATAACTAGTAGTAGTAGTAGTAGAACTAGTAGTAGTAGGAGTAGTAGTAGTAGTAGTAGTAGTAGTAGTAGTAGTAGTAGTAGTAGTAGTAGGTAGTAGTAGTAGTAGTAGTAGTAGTAGTAGTAGCAGCAGCAGCAGTAGTAGCAGTATTAGTAGTAGTAGTAGCAGCAGTAGCTCCAAAATACAGGGCAAGAGGATGGGTCATACTTGTTATTCTGCTCATATATTTTGTAAAACACAATACAGTGTATTCATGTACAATGTGAATGAAGTGTTCCCAATAAATACACATACATAAACGATCAACCTGTAACCTGCAGCAGATTACAGCAACCCCCAATACAAGTAGAGCACAGGTTTGACAAAAGGTAAGCGTTCTTGGGGGTACACAAAGGCACCAGCAGTTGTCCAGAGGGTAATTGTCTTAAGGGATACTTGTCGAAGGAGTAGTTATCCGTTTGGGATAGTGGGGGTAGTGGGTAACTGTCCAAGGAAATTAGGTGCTCTGGAAGTACACATAGTTGTCTAGTGGGTGGTAGTCTAGGGATAGTTATTCTGATATAACTTGGTGCTATCATCATCATCATCATCCTTTAGTAACGTCTGCATTTTCCCTTTTACGAAGGGTTACAACATGATGACCCTCCCTCCCTCCACTTCTTGTTTCGAGCATCCTCCTCATTTAGACCAACCTTACTTCTTTCTTTTTTACCACATCTTTCTATGAAATCATTTATCTTTGTTTCCCTCTAAAGCCATCCCCTTCAAGATCCCACCCTCTTTCACAGATTCATCACCTTACCTTCTCAACAAATGACCCATCCATCTCAATCCACTTCTCTTTACCACTTCCACTAGTTTCTATCAGACCCAACCTTTCCATGAGTTCCCTTATGATCTTTCTACCAGACAATTTCACACCACCCATCTTCCATATTATGGCTCTTTCTGTTCTCCTCACTTTAAAGCGGGACTGCACTACTTATAGCTACTTGCGCCCTCTCTATAGCAAACAATGCCTAATTGGTCCCCCATAATCCCCTTTTTCTTACTTATAAGTGAGAGAGCTGATTTGATGAGATAACCACCTGTCAGTGAACATGCAGGGAGGTCTAATCCCTCCTGGCCAAACTAGTGCAGATAGGCTTTAATCTCGTCATCTACCACCTTGATAACTTACTATTATTGTAGGAGATGAGAAACATCTGCAGCAAACTGAACGATCCTCCAGTAGAGTCTAGTAAGACGTTGCCGATACTCCAACCCTCTGTGCTCTTTCTCCTGTAATTCATGTAGACCTATCAGGTAGTGGAATATAAAGTGGAGATGATTAAAAAATAAGATAGATAAGAAAAAGTTGCAGTATTTTGGACACATTTCTAGGAGAGAAGATGACAGTCATGCTGAGGGTCAACAAAAACGTGGTAGGCCAAAAGTTTGATGGGCTATACAGAATACATGTACATTTCAAGACATTACCTTGGGGTTGATTCCCATCCTTGTGCCTACAAATGTATGGATGCTTTGACTAACCTACTCACAAATACTTCAATTTGAAGTTTTTCTTGAAAGAATTATCATTTGGATCTAATGTTAGATATAGGTGAATATAGTATATCAGTGTTAAACCATAAAAACACAGTAATTAGGTGGTCATATTGTTTATATATTTACGTTGTTTTTATAATTATTTATTTTTGTTTAGCATCATCTTTTCTTCTTTTTTTTTTTTTGGGGGGGGGAGGTGGCGATCTCTTCACGACCTCTTAAACCATGCCCTCTGAAATAATTATCACAACTTTGACATTACCGGCAAACACATATACCAGGGATAGGATGCTCACCTGTGGAATATATTTGATGAGAGTCACTCCGAGCTTTATATAGGAGAAGTAATAGATGAATTCCAGCCACGTGATGACGGAACCGCTTGATGCAGCAGTGATGATCAGTGTGATGAGCGCAAAGAGCCACATTCCAGCTAGGATGACGCGGCTTATGATGGACACTCGCTGTTTACCTCTCTGTTTATAAAATAAACAATGACAGGGTCATTAAGGTCTAGAGAAATCAGCTTTATTCTTCAAATTGGCAACAAAAACATTTTATTTGTACTGCTTTACATTTATAGTCATATTCCAGCTGGAATGATGGTTCAAATGACATACACATTGTTTTTTTGAAGACAAAAATGGCAAATTGTTTTGAAACATGTTTTTACTAATAACACATACAATGATAACCAAACAATTGCCATTAGTGTTATCTCTCAGCACAAGAGGGCAGCACAAAGCTTGTGTCTTAGCAGAAAATAATCCAACACACAATGTGATGCTTCAAAATCCATTTTGCTGAATTCATTAAATAGTAGGTCACAACGGACGAGTGGCATTCAGAGACAACAATAATAATAATAATAATAATAATCTTTTAGTCCACTCCAAATTTTATTAAACCGAGATGAAAATTCTTTTTGCCCAATTGATCGTGAGCTCGGCAGCCACTGAGCAGCGCCAGATCGACGTTGCTCTATCCCTTATTGTTCAATGCCAAACAAGGTAGCAGCAACTCCCATCTTTTAACGTCTTTTGGTATAACTCGGCTGGGGATCGAACCCACTACTGACTGAGCCAACACTCCATTTACAAACATGGTATGAAGGGAGGTGTTAATTTTCTAATCCTTTGTCTTTTTGTACGTTGTAGGCGACCTTCTCAGCGGTTGCCTAAATAAAAAGATGGAGGTAGATTACCATGCCTAGCAAACTGAAATCACACATAGTCCTTGGCAGACCTAAGCTAAAACTTCCCCAGGTCTTCATCTTGTTTGCTTAACATATTGCCCTTTATATAGGCCATCAGCCAGCATGTCATATCAAGGGGGTTTCAAACCCAGGACCTGCTGGTTTCAGGACCTGATCTTCAACCATCGAACCACCTTGCATCCTCTCAGTTACTTACCTCATAGATAAAGCACTGGAATATGGTGATTGCTGTAATCAACACAGCATGTAGTGTAAAGATGACATCGTTCAATAACACTGGATTCACACCATATGGATTTTTTGCCTTGTATGCATCCTACATAAAGTGAAAGACAAAGTGAAAGACATAACGTGCAATAAAGGAAATTTGCAAGGTTGAAACAATAAATCAACAATTCTGTTGTTTTTTAGCCAAAAGACATATCTGGCAGGAAATATTTCACAGGACACTATTCAAGTGCAATTTAGAGAATCTTGTGTATGAATAATGATAGTGATTGAATTTATATAGCATATTGCATAATACATTTTAATACACTTCACATATTAGATACTATGAATAAACCAAAATTATAAATATATTTTTACAATGCTAGAAATCAGTAACTTGAAAAAAGAAAGATTATTTCAATCTTGCTCACTGTACCTCTTTCATTCTCCCTATCACTAAGATTTACACATGAACTTTCTCTATGAAACAATCAATGAACAAGTAGGGTATGGACTAAAGAATTGGGCATTGTTTTACAAATGTAGAATACAATATATAAAACATTCATAGCAAATGACATCAAAATTAATGAACTGAATGTGAATTAGTAAATTGTATAAAATAATATTCAACTCTAAAATTCTTATGTAATCTCCCTGACTCATTTTATATATATATATATATATATATATATATATATATATATATATAGGAGATAAAGAAAAGTGAAGAAGAACATCATGATGATAGTGTAGAGTAGAGAAAGTAAAGAAAAGAGGATGGTAAGGTGGTAAGATTAAGAAGAAGATGAACAGGAAGAAGAAGAGGAAAAAATAGAAGAGGAGGAGGAAGAAGAAGAAGATTCAAGTGGGGATAGTAAGAGGATAGACGGAGGGTAGTGCGAATAGTAACACCATCATAAGTATCAATAGGTGTACTATGAACTCACCTTTATTGGTTCTATCCAGTACATGCCCACATTGAAGACACCGTACGCTACAAAGCCAGTAATATTATAAGCCAAGAAGTCAAAGTTCAAGCCAATTACACTGAGGAGAAAAATTTGTTGAAAAGGTAAGCATCAGATAATATGTAGAAGATAACAGAGACTTTGAATACTTACGAGAATTCTTGATCTCTCGTAACTTTACGAGAGACTTTTGACTTAAAAGAGACTTTTATGTGTAGACTTTGCTTTGTGAAACAGACTAGTCTCTCGTAACTAAAGTCTCGCATAAGTAGGACACTTAAGAGAGACTTTGGGGTTTATGTCTAGACATAAATTCTTAATGAAACACCCCCAAGAAGTATGGTAGTAATATAAAAAAATCACTGTAAATGAACAATACTTCTTCTCTTTTTAAAACAAATCCAAGCCTTAAAAGTATATCTAACATTTTTACTCTTGTACCTTCTGATGAACCAGTACACCGGTCCAGGGTTGAAGTTAAGAATTTGTTTGTGTCCAATATGATCCAAAACATGGGGCCAAAGAGCTTGTGTCACAAAGCAAGATATACCCCATCCTCTGCCAATTTTGTATAAAAAAAGGAGGCGCGATAGCTTGAGGAGGAGCGATAGCTCAGTTGATAGAGCAGTGGTCTCGTAATCCGGTGACCCGGGTTCAAAACCAAGGCGATGCGCTGGTGCCCTTTGGTTAGGCATAAATATACCAGGTCTTTCGGAGAGGACCTACAGCCGTTGGTCCTCTGGTTGCTTACTAACAAGCACATATGCTTTCTTAGCAGTCAGGTAAAATAACCACAACCACAACATTTCTATATTTTTCATGTAAAACTCACCTTTTTCGCTTGATATTGAGGATGACTTGAGGGTAGAAGGAGACAGACCAAGCAAGGAAGTAGATCCAGCCGACCACTATGACAACGATGGACAATGCACTGCTCTGGACCACATTAACCTCCACAAACAGTCCTGACAAGCTGCGAGAAACCAAGAAGCATAAATCATATTTAGTGCACCATAAGAGGGTACCTGGCAGGAATTAATTCCTTGAAATGCTAGAGCACTGTAATGGCCGCCTTGCTAAAACCAGGGTAATAATTGGATATGTGCGCCATACAAGAAACCATTATTATTATTATTATTATTATTAATTTATATAGTCTTGTCATTTTTTTCTTCTCGGGTATCCTAGTAGACCATTAGTCCAAGAGACCAACGGCTATCGAGACTGACAGCCCAAGAGACCGACAATAACGGTCTGGTGGTGAACCCTCAGAAAAATTGTCAGGTAGTGGGCAGTCTCATCAATCTTCTGATAACTTTTCAAAGGCCTGTGAGATCAACATTTGGTAGTCCAAGTTCTGTCCGTTTTTACTTTTTTTTTTTCAATAAGATTTTTTCCCCTTCGTTACATCCCACACAGAACACAAAAGACTCTATTAATCGCGCGATACCAAAAATACACCTGTTGAAATAGAATGAAAGGACCGTCTCTGAGTTAGCGTTGAGAGAGTGTGTTTTTTTCTCAACTGATTAGGCGTGAAACACAGATACAGTCCAGGCAGCAGCCTCTTTTTACAGGTAAAACTAGACCTTTTATCAAAATCGTCTATAAGATTTTAACTACACTTTATTCGTCATTTGGAAAAATGAGCATTTCATTTGGTATTCAATGTTGTGTAAAATAAGGCTCCCAATACATGGAAAGTATTGAAAGTAGGTAATTATACAAGTGCACTTACTCTCCTAGCTCTAAAGATGTGGTGTTCATAGATATGTGGCACACTCCGACGGAAAGACTGGAGACAGTGATAGACACCGAGCTTGAACTGTTTGAAGGTACATCCACCTGGATGGTGACAAATAAAGGTTATCAAACTAACATTGTGACATCATTAAAAATGAATTCCATTTCCAATACAATCTGACGTAATGTACACAATCTGGAATGATCTTGTGCATGTTGCGATATCACATTCAGTTGAAATGAGTACATAATAATGCACAGGATTATGCACTTAACCGTACATGTTCATTTACATGTAGGTGCACTTTTTCATAGTAGCATCACATAAAATATATTATAAATGATATCACAACCTCTCAAAATAAAAGAGTCACAGCTACATGTAGGTACATGTATGTCACGCATCTTCCTTAAAAAATGTATGTTGCCAAAATCTCATGGCGTGAACATTTTTATCAATAGCTCAAGACTTTTAAATTCACTCATATATCTAAATAATGGAGCTGTATATGTCAAACAAGCATTAATAAGTCCTAGCACACTTTGATATAAAGTTCAACATCAACATAATGGTTTTATGAGGTGAATATAAACACCAGCAACACAACTGGCTGGGTCGGGGCCACCATGATCAAATATGAGCGAGATTAGTTGTACAGTACGTGCATTGTGACATCAGGTACGTCACTGTGTACGTATAGTAGCTCATGCATATAAGACATATTACTACACTGTAAAACAAAGGACAAACATTCAGGCAACTTTCCAGCTAAGATTTACAGACAGTGTCTCAGATTTTCTGTGATGTTTTAAACCAATCTTTACTCAAGAAAAGGATAAGGTCAGAATTCTTTGTAGATTTTTTTGAAAATTCGGTATATAAAAGATATATTGACTGCTTTAATATTCGAAGCATACAACTGTAGTTGTTTCTATACTGGGTCTCGGGGACGTTACATCCTGATATGACCTTTTGCATGCCTCGGGGTAATATCAGGAGGTAAAGCCCTGTTGAGCCTATAGAAACAGCGATGCCTCTCATAGCAGTCAATATATCTATACTAGTCTATCCCTGATGCAATAACAACACTGTTACATGTACATGTACAACATAACAAGGACTGCTAACAAATCAAACCCTAATTACCATATATATTGCAAAAAATAGAATATTGAAATGGCAAACAGGTGTTACATGAACGATGTATAAGTATGTTCTTTACAATAGAAGTTTAAAGAAATAATAATAATAATGAAGTGTTTTAATCATACAGGTGTACATAGGAAATCTCAAACTAATTTAAAAATATTGAAACGATCATCACAAATATTTTTTCTCTCATGCTACAAGAGTAATTTTACCACTTTTGTACATGTACACTTCTATTTGGTTTATGAGGGTGTTTCAAATATTAGGCAATTGGTAAAAAATACTACAAAATCTCCCTTAAATTCAAATTTTTAGACAAATAATCATATTTGTAAAACTGAAGCTGCACATTTATTAAATAGTTAGAAGTAGCCATTTGTTGTAGTTTCAAAATTTGCTAACTTACCTCAGATGGTATGCTCGCTATTTCATATTTATCATTGAAAAGCTCAACCTGTGCAGTTTCTTGAAGGTCCACTTTTGGTGTGATTGTGAAAGATCCATTCTTTCCTATTTCTACTATCAGCTTTTCAGTCCCCGTCGTGATGTTATAGCTATTTCCTAGCGAGCCGGCAAGAGCGATGGTTATGATCAAAGTGATGATTTTCTCCATGTTGATCTAGGCTGCGTTATAACTGTGCAAGCTTAGAATCCATCAAAACTCTTTTTCCCCTGTTCCGTGCCACCTGTTGAACACAAAAAGACAAGAAAGATTGAAAGAGAGAGATAGAGGAGGAAATCAATATTTTGAATTCAATGTTTTGACTTAAAATGCTTGCAATCATAGCTTATGTATTAGTACGTCTAGGATCCAACATATAAAAATAAAAGTGAGTCATTTGAGTGTCACCAAAGTGGTAAAACACAGTGCAACAAACAGAAAATTCAGTGTAGCCTGTAAAGTGGGCCAACAAAAAATGTTCCCAAAACAAGAAATTTAACTTACTGTTACTGTTAGAATAGAAGGCATAATAAACTGAAAACATGCTTTTCATCTTTTCATTATATTAGATGTTTGTATTCCTTCCATGCCCCCATGAAGGGGCAGGCTGTTCACAAATTTATTGGCATTGCCCTTAACTAACATGAATAAAATTGACAGAGGAGATTCTAAAATAACACAAAAACAATGATCAATTTGACAATAAAATATAGATCTAGGGTCTATCCCAGCAGTCCTTTCCATCCTCTACTCGAAATCGAGTCTACTCTAGCCTATCTTTCTTTTCTTTCTTTCTTTCTTTAAAGTTTAATCTAATTCACTGTCCTTATATACACAAACTAACAACATTACAAAAGTACAAATATGCTCATTGATAAATAGTTATCCGCAGGCACAGACAACAATGAAGACCAACGCGCGCACGTCCAACCAGATGCAGATGCAGCTGGAGCCAGTCGGCGGTACACGATGTTGTGAGCGGCTGCTGCGGGACAGGCCGGGCGCTAGACGGCCAGCATTGACGAGTTGTCCGGTATGCGGTTTCCCTGGCCGACTGTCACTGTAAAAGTCTCTATATTTGACAAAATTCAGGATGAAAACATGACAATAGTACCAAATCTATATCTATAAATTCACAAGTGTTCATAAACATGACTAAAATTTATCCTACTCACCGTTTCTCGTCTAAAATCGGTGTGAAGTTACATGCATTTATTATGCGACGATCTATCGACTCTATCTGTTGTGTACACACATGACTATCATGTGATCAAATGATTTGTCAAATCATCGCATGCATGTTACGTCATAGGTCCTACCCTGGTCCTACCCACCACGCCCCCTCCACTGCAGGTTCAGTCAAAGGAATTTGAACAATTTTTAAGATGAACCTGCCAGTTTCATGTCCACTATTATAAGTTACGTTTGGCGTTTTCAAAATAGGGGGGTGGGGGGGGGGTGGCTGAACAGCTAGGCTCTGTCCTCGAGAAAAAGTTTCGGGCTGGTGGGGGGGGGGGGGGGGGGGGGGGGGGGGGGGGCGGGGAGGGGGGTTTGATTCCTCCACCCAGCTAGGGCCCGGATCCAGCCTGTGGCAAGCGAAGGGGCCAAAAAAGGGTGGGGGGGGGGGGCAAAGGAGGGAGGGGGCCCAATCCGTGAGAACATTTTGTGGCGAATTAGCCAGTCGGCGAATAAGCGGGCGGGGCGGGGGGGGGGGGGTATAAGTGTCACATTTTGTTTTGTTTTTTTTCCCAACTTTGTGAGAAGATATTTAGCGGCGAATCAGTCAGCTGAGGAATAAGCGGGGGGGGGGGGGGAGGGGGCGGGGAGGAGCACAATTTTTGCTTCTTTTTTCCCCTAGGGAGGGGCCCGTCTCCCTTTTTTATTTTTAAAGGTAACCGTGTTTTTACCTGTTTTTTTGCCAGGGGAGGGGGGCCGGGTCTCCCCCCCCCCCCCCCTTTGATCCACTACAGCCTCCGCCGCCCCTTAAAACTGCCCAGCAACGCTTTGAATGGCATGTCAATGAATCAATGTCAAATTATTCCTGTTTTTCAAGCTATTTGAGTAAAGATGTGGATTTTTTTTGTTTTGTTGTTGTTGCTTTGCCACCGGAAATAATAAACCTTACAATTGGCCTAATTTTGCCCTTTCAATTTGTGATTTTGTGTTTCGATCCTATCGTAAAAATCGTGAGTTCTTTAATTCGAGCGACGCCCCCTAAAAAAAAATTAAAATAAAAATAAAACAAAGATATTTATATAATATTGGACTCGTCCGAGAACACAGATACGAAGGCTAAACAGGTGCTGGGCCAGGAACGTGCAGCTTCGCATATTATAAGGCGTATAAAAAAAAAATTAAAAAAGACATTGTGTAATGATTTTTCTTTGGATGGTTTACGAATGATTTGGTTGGTTATAATTAGCTCCGACTTGATGATTTGATGAAATCACACCCAAACATATGGATTTTTTTTTAATAAATGAAATAAAATTTGCTTAGAGTGTCATGTTATTTCAAAAAAGCGGGTGGCAATTTGAAATGAACTTGATAACTCTAAACAGTTCAATTGGGATAACATTCACTTGTGTTCTAAAGAATGATAGTGTGGAAGATATGCCTCTTTTAGCAGTTAAGTATAATTGGGCAAAAATTAGGTGTTAACATGGCACACTTCTTACATTAACTGATGACTTATCTAAGGCCGAAGGGGCGTTTGATATTGTGTTGAAAAGACGAGCAACATTGTAGTTATTTTTGAAAGGGGCATACATCATCATGAAATTTAGAGAATTATGTCCCCTGCCCCGGCTTTACTATAATTATACCCTTCATTTTGGTGATAGAAGTAGGGTTTCTGTTACCGCACAAAAATTAAGCTGCTCCGATTCTTTGAATCTGAATATGGCTCTCTTATAGATGACTGCAAAAGTGCACACTTTATGAGCGATGAATACGTTTGAAATAAAGGTTGAAAGGAATACTTATAACAGGGAAATTATTAAAAAAAAGGGTACAATATTAAGGATACTGATCAAGTATTACAAGGGACTTATATTATCGGCAGTTATTCTCGTACCTATAAAAAGGGGCCGCTCATCATTATGTCAAAGGAGCACTTATGAGAAGGGGGATGTGCATACGAAGGAAAATTGACACTTTTTAAATTTTAAAAGGGCATCTATCAAATTAAAATAGGGTCACTATTCGGGATGTGAAACAGGGTGCTATATGAACGGTGGGCAATTATCTGAAGTAAAAATTAAGGGTCATTTTTCCTCAGTCAAAAGGTGCAATTTGGGGTATTTGAAAAGGTTGCGAAACTGGCTCGGAGTTCCCCTGTACCTGATGGAACCAATGGAACCAATGTAACCAGGGGCGTACGCAGGGGGGGTGTTTTGGGGGTTCAAACCCCCCCCCTTTGGTATTTTTATGTATGTAAACCCCCCTAAAAAAACCTAAAACCCCCCCTTTGGTTTTTTTTTTTTTTTTTTTTTTTTTTTTTAATTATTAAAAAAAAAAAAAAAAAAAAAAAAAAATTATACCCACGGCTAACCTAAATAAGGTGACCTTACCCCCCCCCCCAACGACAAAAAATGTCAAATTATGAAATTTCGAGACCAAAAAAAATAAAAAATGTGTCCGCTTACCCCCCCCCCCCCCCCCCCCCCCCCCCCCCCCCCCCCCCCCACTGAGCGACTTTTCGGCCGGCGCGATTTTCAAATTTTCGGGAGCAAAATATTTTAAAACCCCCCCCTTGAAAAAATCCTGCGTACGCCCCTGAATGTAACCATAATAAAATAGAGTTGAAGTGACAATTGAAAGTGCGATCAATCAACTTGACACAAATAGGCAACTCTGTGACGTATCTTGAGACTTCCCCGGCCTCCCATTTGCCCTCGAATCTTGAACCTTCAGGACGGTAATCCCTGCAGGGATGCACAGCAGGTGATAAACGGTGCAGCTAGACAATAACAGAACGAAGTCAAATTTCCCTGCAAATTTCTATATACAATAAAATAGTGATGTGCGATTAAAAAAAGATTAAGAAAATTTTCAATCATGCACTCACCCTAAAATTTATTATTATAAATATGTTTTATACAACCGGTAACAACCCCTGTATGAAAAAAAAATCTACTCCATCATCAATAACCAAGAAAATGAAAGTTTATAACATTTTCTGTACCGGAGCAATTAAATTGGAGAGGAGTTCGCAAGATACGTCACAGTGTTTGTCAATTTGTGTTTCATTGATGAAAACTTCAAGAATTCATAACTTTCCTATTTTTAATCGAGTATCGAAGAGCTTTCACTAAGTTGTTCCTCTCATCAGTGGCATACGCAGGATTTTTTCAAGGGGGGGGGGGGGGGGGTTAAAATCGGGCCCAAAATTTCGCAACGACTCAGCCAGCCGGTGAGTAAGCGGGGGGGGGGGGGGGGGTTTCTCCAAAAACACACATAACAAAATTGAAGGGGGGTTTAACCCCCCCTCCCCCCAAGCCCTGGGTACGCGCCTGGGCACGCCACCAACTATGAAAAAATAAACAAATAAAAAATAAATAGTGACCCCAAATGACTCGGTCGATGTGTATTCATTTTCAGCGAGTTGCGCTTAGGCCGAATTGTAAATCCACCGGGTGTGTATTCGTAATACATAGATTGTGTACTGTGTGGATTCTCGTACTTTTAACAGGTTGAAAAAACACTAGAAAAAATGCATTAAGCACAAAATACTTTCGCACTGAACTTGTTATGTGTTAATCTCTACAATGACTGATTTATTCCGATCAGCGTTTGGAATCCTTGGTGGCCCGAGCGATAGAGGAAATGAATTTGTTGGCCAGCAGGTCGAACTCGGCGACACCAAGCTGAAAGTGCGGAGAGTTATCGCCGAAGGTAAAGGGGTGTATGTTGACCATTGCATTGCATTGGCGTTGTGAATTGTGTGTGCATGAGTTGAATGGGTGCAATTGTAATGTGTGTGCATGAGACTATATTTTGAAGGTTCTCATTTGAAATCATGATGTCTAATGTACAAGTTATACAAAATGTTTTTTTTCTTTCTATTAATGACCTTCATTATTTTGGCAAAGGGAGGAAGGGGGAGCTGGGAGGGAGGGAGGGAGTGGAGGGAGAGAGGGTGGGGTATGAGAGAGTAGTATTGAGAATGAGAGCTAGCTGTGCAGAGTCTGTACACTCACGATTTACAAACATGTATGTTGTGTGGCCGTTCAGCTGTCTAGTCTACATTTGGAGGGAGTACTAAAAACCACAACAAGCATGAAACATTTATTTATTTATTATTTTGGGGGGTTTGTTTGTTTGTTCAAAATAATTCCTCATTGTGAAAGTTCTGAGAGTGAGAAGGTAAACACCATGCATGATGTAGCATTAACGAAAGAAAGAATAATCTCTGAAACGGCAGTTTAGCTTACACAAACTAGACCTACTTCTCCATCATGCACTTTTCTTTAATCATTGATTTTTGCCAAAAATGCTGTAAGATAATTTCTTCAAACTTTTTCTTCACAGGAGGTTTTGCGTTTGTATATGTGGCTCAAGAAAATTCAACTGGAAAGGAGTTTGCTCTGAAGGTAAGAGTCTTAAAATAAATAGTGTTGAAATAGAGTCAAATCTATTTTTATTAATTAGTAAAAATTCTCCTTTTTTTTCCCTTCTACATGTATTATTATCATAGATTCATTTTAACAGTACTCTGCAGCCTGCAATAATATATTGCAAAGATAGACTTGCCAAGGCTTTATTACACATCAAACACTACATACATGTATACACATATTTACATTTGACTTCAAGCTCATTCATGTCTTTATTTGTTACCTCAGTTATATGTCTCAGATCATAAATGCCACTAGTAGTTTAAGTCTAAAAGGCGCATTGAGTACATACATGTACTACAGTGTACATCACGTGTAGATGTAGTGTTACAACTTAAATGCAATGTTAAGGAAGGATCGCCCTTTTTTTTAATGTGTACAAAAGTTTAACCTCCCCCCCCCCCCACCCCCACTAGGATTACTGGTAATGTAGTTGTTGTATAAATTATGCATTTCGTATATCAGTATTTCTGTCATTCATTTATTGAATTATGTGTATTTCAATTTCCAACATATGTTGGCTTGCCATTTTGCAATAGAAGCAATTTTACATGTAGTTTTTGTTTTGTTCATTTCTCTCCTAATTTCCTCGAAAATTTGTTCACATTTCTATAAAGTGCATGCAATTTATTTGTCAACAACTGAATCTATTTGGGCCATGCAACTCTGGCCCATTGCCCTGTGTATTATAGTGACGGGGCGTATTAGACGGCATGTATAGCGCGGTTGCAGTTCCAGTTCAAATCTGCCATACCCAGTAATGGGTATGATCGCGGAAACTACCGCGGGTGTCGCCAAATGCGGGACTTGCGCGCATATACCCGCCAGAGCCGTATTGGCTCAGGCTGAATCACTACAGTATTATCTTATTAAAACTAAACATGCATGAAATAATAGAGGATAGTACATGAAGATTTGATAAATTCACAAACATGTATTTAGTAGTACTTGTATGTTCAATAATATATAATACAATTGATGGAATTGTAATGATGAATTAGCAATACATGTACATGTACATCACAAAACTATTTAGGATGGAAAAGGAGAAAGAGAGGGGCAAAGGAAGGAGGGCGGGGGAGGGGGAGAGAACATGAGTGAGGAGTGTTGAGAATGAGAGAGCTGTATAGTGTCTGTACACTCAAAATATCATGACCAGTATTCATTATGTGATATTTGTCTATTTTCTTTGTATTCCTTTCACTTTATTACAGAGACTGTTGGCAAATGATGAGGAAAAGTCAAAAGAAATTCTCCAAGAGATCGCAATTCTTGTATCCTTTGTAATTCTACTTTCTCATGTATATTATTAAAAGAAGATATCTGACTGTCTGTTAGCCATTCAGGTCTCAAATGGTATAAAAAGAGGCATTGTAGAGCGTTGTGGCGTGCGCCTGTAATCCAGCTAAAAGTGGAAGTTACAAACTGATTCAGCCAAGGATACAGGTTCGAAACTGAGTCACGTCTTTGGTGACGTTTAAAGGTCGGTCCCCAGACATAAATAATCATATCTGATTGATACACGTCTGTAAAAACCCAATATACACACGCACACACTGTTTGTCTTGGTTATCTACAAATAACAATTTTGTTAGGATGTGTACTCAGGATGTTATGAATATTTTAGAAGAGTTTATACTGTGTACATGTAGAAACAAAAAGATGGCTCAGTCAAGTGATACGTAAAATCGTGAAAAAAGATTTTGATTATCCTTGACATCAACATTGCTGATACTACTCGTAAGGAAATATCCCCTTGTAGGAGCATAGAATTGTTAGCATTGTAGTATCTATTGACAAAAGAAATATGACAAAATGTCTTATGGGGCATTCCAAAAGCATGTATGTAAGCTTCACTTTGTAAATTCTATCTCACCCAAATACTAGTTTGTCTGATAAATTGTGTAAAGATTTTTGTTATCTGTAGAAGTTTAGTGATGTCATGCAGAAGAAGAAACAGCAAGAACTCCTTGCAGTTTCTTTTGAGGAATGCACTTGTTCATGCTTTTACCTGATTTCATGCCCAGTCACTCTGTCCAGGCTTTTTCTTGCACAAAATAAGTGGGGCTTTATTTAGCATGCCATGACCTCTCTTGGGCTTATTGAGTGAAAAACAACTTACACAGTAGGCTTACAGTACAGTTCCACCATGTGAGGGGGGGGGGGGGGGGGGGGAGGACTGGGGAGTCCTGAAAAGGACTGTCGGTATTAAATCTTTCTTTCTTGAGAGTGTGTGTAGTCCTGAAAAGGAACAAACAACTTGTACATGCAGCACTGTACTTTCCTTAGCCCCTAAATTCACACAGAAACGGTTATCAGGGCACCCGAGCATAGTGCAGTTCTTCTCTGCCGCGTCCATCGGGAAGGGCGACACTGACCATGGTCAGTCGGAGTACCTGCTCCTGATGGAGCTGTGTCCTGGAGGCCAGCTGGTGGATGCCATCAACCAGCGCCACATGCCGCTGAGCTGTGATGACGTCCTGCAGACCTTCTACCAGGCATGCAGGGGTGTGCAGCACATGCATAAGCAGACACCGCCCGTCACACACAGGGATATCAAAGTGAGTGATTAAACAGTGTTTCGTTAACATAATTGAAGTTTACATTAATATTTGACGGTACATGTATTGGCTTTGAACTGCCTAGAATTTGTTTCTATGTCCATGCAATGTTTTTGTTTTATTTTTTATTTTTTTCATTTTTCATATTTTTAAAGAAAGCTTCTGTCTTCTGGAATTCAAAAAGGGTTCATGAATATTGGAAGTTTTCATGAAAATGAATTTGTATGAAGACAAACAATTGTAAAAAGAGGGGGCACTATAATTATCTCTTGAATTGTAGCTTCTGCATAACATTGTGTACATGTAACAGCACTGTAAAGATTTAAATGAAGGAGAGTTGAAAAGATGGTGATTTTACCTTTGCATTATTTCATCACACAAAATACGGGCTTGGGTTGTGATTTGGTTTTAGGTAGGGTAAGGTTTGTTGTTGGGTCCATGGTTGAGTTATTAATTCAACTGTGCACAAGAAATTGAGTGTGGAACAAATGGTCGTAGAGAAGGCATGGTGTCATTTCTTATATTTTTCTTGTGGCAGGGGGGTCCTGAAATTTATGTTGTAATACACTTTTATATGTACAGGGTACATGCTGACATAAGGAAATTATTTGTTTGGGTACATTTTCTACTATTTTTACGTAACATGATAACCCGTTAAAATATATATTCTCTTTTTAAGAGGTGCTTGGTAGGGTGCAAGGAAGGAATTTTAATGAGGGGACCTTCCTTAGACTTTATGGGCAGACCATGTCATTTGTATCCTTTCTGTTTTCTCTTGAAGTGAAGAGATCGAGTGGAACAAATCAGTCATTTATTTTCCATTAAAAAAGTATCCTTTATATCAGATTAGACCAACCAAGTTATTTTTATTATCAGTACATTTTGACCTTGTATCTAAACACTTTCGACCCTTATTTTTGTTTTTTCTATAGCTTGAGAATTTCTTGATCGGAAGCAAGAAAACACTGAAGCTTTGTGATTTTGGCAGTGCAACCGGCAAATCATATCAGCCTGATTCATCATGGAGCTCCCTCAAAAGAAGTACACTAGAAGATGAGGTTAGTTGTGCAGTAGTCATATGAAAGTTGCTTGCTAAGAACCAGAAAGGCATTATATGAACTTCATTTGTGAATTCATTTGTAAATCTCTCTATATTATTCCACTTGTTCATGTAGGTCAGTATGTTTACAGTAGGTTCATAGTAGTCGAGTGGTTGAAGCACTTGACTTGAAATTCGAAGGTCATGGTTCGATCCCGGCATGGCACTAATGTCCTTTGACAAGGCATTAATCTACATTTGCCACGCTCAACCCATTTGATGTACATGTAAATGGGTACCTACCTGGCAGGAATTAATTCCTTGAAATGCTAGAGTGCCGTAATGGCAGCACAGCTAAAGCCGGTGTAATAATTTCCTAATTCGTTAAGGCGCCTTGAGCATCCCTTGGGGTGGATATGTGCGATTTATAAATGTTGTTATTATTATTGTATGAAATTAATTTGTGAATTCAGAAATAAATCTTGTAGTTGTACATCTCCCTATATTCTGCCACTTGTTCATAGTTATACACTGTACACAAATTTCATTGAAGCACACAGATGTAAAAGGTCACGTTTTAAAAGGGGACAGCTTTCACCTCTTTATTACTTCCTGTAGTAAACTGTAATATAGACAGATTTTGTAGAATATTATTTTTGTCCAACTGTATTTTATACATTTTCTTGTCAAATGATCTCTCTTCCTCTCATGTTCTATGATGGACATATCAATCCATCTGAATAAAATCATCATGTGCATTAGATTAACTTACAATAGAAAGAAAAAGAGCACAAAGCTTCATTCAAAATGCATTGAGATTACCATCATGTACAGTCTGTATTGCTTAATTTATGGGTAAGAGATCTGTACTGATTGCTGTCCTTCCTTCATTGGTACATGTAGTTGTAATGATAACGGCAATACTGGATCTTCTGAAGTTAGTGCTATTTATGTTCATAGTGTGCAAACAAACAAATACATAGGTGTACACTCTCTAACAAGCCACAAACCTGGCTTTCATTGTGTTCACCATTTTCGAATTATTCGCTTATGTTTTTAAGGTAGTCTGTCGATACTGATTTATCTATTAATCAGTCTACTTTTCCCCTTTCTTCGCCTTGTTTCTCATTGAATACTATATTTGTTATGTTTTTTATCTTCTTAATTGTTTGATTGAAATGTTGTAGTTTTATAATGCTTTTATTGCCCGTTGACTGTTCTTTTACACATTGTTTTAATTGATGTTGGAATTTGGAAATAAATGATATGAATTGAATTGAATGCCACTGGCTTGATATTCATCTAAGAATCCTTGATTTCTGCCTCTCTTGCTCAGTTTGCCAGACACACCACACCCATGTACAGACCACCTGAGATATTGGACCTCTATGAGAACTTTCCAATCAACCATGCCATGGATGTATGGGTGAGTAACAGGCATTTAGCTATCTGTCGACATTTCATCAATATTTTTTAATGCCATGAATTAAATCAGTTAAAGCGAGACTGCACTACTTGTAGCTACATGTACTTGCACCCTCTTTATAGCCAACAATGCCTAAGCGGTACCCTTTGATTCCCCATGGTCCCCTTTTTCTTATGTTAATATTGAGAGCTGATTTGATGAGATAACCACCTGCTAGTGACCACGAAGGGAGGTCTAACCCCCCCCCCCCCCTGTCCAAACTAGTGCAGATAGGCTTTAATAGGAATACTTAGGCATTCTAAGGTTTTGCAAATCATAAATTGACAAAAGTTGTAAACAAGTTCATGTGTGAAATATAAAAGCTCTCAAAGAGCAACTCTGTAACCCTTTTGTTCTTCATAAAGCGTCGCACAGATATGATGCAGTTAACCATAGTTTTTGTG